GATAGTTTTTGCAGTGATGTTTTCTTGCAATCAAGTCCATAAGTCGCGCTTCTAAACAACAGATATTTCATAAACGAACCACAGCAATAAAACCTCAAGAAAAAACATCCCTAAAACGACTGCAGGCCAGCAGCACAGAGGTTAAAAGGAACTTTCTGAAGAACTTTGTTAGTTTAAGCAACGCAATCAGAACAAGTTCTTGGTTTGGATAAGCATGAGTGAAGCAGCAGAAAACACCTCTCTATGCCCTCAAACCAACGTCTCTGAAAGAGCTCCGTTTAGGCACAATAAGAGCCATCAGCAGGAGGACTCTGACAAGATGAACTCCTGCAGAGTGGATCTTGCTCTTCTAGTTATTTATTCTTCTTTCTAATTCAAGGGTCTTTTTGTTTTGTTTTTCGGCTTTAATAGGCAGCATTAAGGTGGACCGGCACTGAGGTCTGTCCTTGGAGCCGCGATCCAAATTCCTGAGAATCTTGGCAACTTCTCGGGATAGATGGGACCCTCATGGATATAAACCCCACAATGGATGAATAGGTAAACAGAGGAGTGTGAAAGAGTGATGGCAAAAAGAGAATGTTCACTCTCAGCGAGGCACAAAGAGGGTGGTGTGTGAGTGGGAGATGGGAGAAAGCCAAAAATGTTTAAGGAGGGGGGGGCTCTAAGGGGAGTTCTTGGTTGGTTAGTGCAAAAAGTTTGGTCTTTGGGCTTTTAGGTGGTGCTCTGCATAGTGTTAACTCAATCAAAGGGTGAATTATACCTCCTGAGACACTCAGGTAACCTTTCATTATGGCCCTAATCCTTCTTAATAACAGAGCCGCAATGGCGGCAATGGCCCATTAGACAGAGAGCCACTGAGAGGAAGAGCCATTATTCCCCACAGGCCTGCAGAAATGTGAACACACACCAACACTCACAGATTCTGGGCAGTGACAGATGAAATCAATCACACGTTTGACATGAGCTACGGAAGCTCCTCCACCAGGAAAAGGAGACATTAAGGGAGAGGGAATCAGACACGGATTCTCTGTAAACAAACTGTGGGAGAAATAATGTTTTTAACCTTCCAGGGAAACAAAAACGCCATCACTAAATGCTCACTTCCTTTACATAGTGACACCAAAACGGGTTTAAAGAAGCTACTGTTTCAGAACTGCAAACATTTTGCTCTTAAATTTACTCAGTTTCACAGAAAAGCACTGTCCCTCCCCTACATATTGCTGCACACTGCTGCTCAGCGGGC